GAGAGAGAGAGAGAGAGAGAGAGAGAGAGAGAGAGAGAGAGAGAGAGAGAGAGAGAAAGTGTGTGTTTAGGTCAGAGGACAACTTTAAGGACTTGGTTCTTTCTTCCCGTAGTGTATTCTTGGGATCAAACTCAGGTTGTCAGGCCTGTGTGACAACTGCTTTTACCCACTGAACCACCTCACCAGCCACCGTGTCAAGCTTTTTATGTGGTTTGCAGGGACTTGAACTCAGACATCATTTTCCTCACTGGGCTGTCTCCCTGGCCTCCAGATGCACTCTCTTGTTGACATAGGCGCTCTACCTCTAGTTGGCTAGAAATAGAGACGTCCTCTGTTCTGAGGTGGATCTGGGCTTACGTTGATATGCTGAGATGCTGTTTTATGTCCCAGCATCTCTTCCCTGGACTCTCTGTGTTTTATGCCCCAACTGTGTTCTAACCTTCCCTAGGTTTCCCTTTGCTCCCAGGCCGCTTTCAAAAATGGTGCTGATGGTACTGCGCATCAAATAAAGACCCAGTCTATCTAAAAAAGTTTCGATTCTTTCTGCCTCTCCCCCACAGGAGTCAGGTGCTATGCCCGGCAGGTGCATGTCCCCAAGGGGCCTCTTTACCGCGTGGCTGGCACTGCTGTCTCTATCTCTTGCAACGTGAGTGCCTATGAGGGCCCTTCCCAGCAAGACTTTGAGTGGTTCATGTACAGACCAGAGGCCCCAGCGACTTCCCTGGGCATCCTTAGCACCAAAGACAGCCAGTTCTCCTATGCTGTGTTTGGGCCTCGTGTGGCGTCTGGTGAGCTGCAGGTGCAGCGCCTGAAGGGAGACTCCGTGGTGCTCAAGATTGCTCGCCTGCAGGCCCAGGACTCCGGCTTTTATGAATGCTACACCCCCTCTACGGATACCCAGTATCTGGGTAACTACAGTGCCAAGGTGGAGCTCAGAGGTACGGGCTCTGAGCTGGGTGGCGAGAGAGCCTCCCAGACTTAGCTTTTCTCCCTCCTCCTCCCCCCCTCGCTTCCTCTTCCTCCTCCTCCTCTTCCCCTTTTCCACCCCACCCCACCCCCAACGCCCACCATCTGGGAGATTGAACCTACAGTGTTGAGCTTACCAAGGAAGGAATCTGCTAAGCTGTATCCCCTGTGTTGCTTCTTGAGATTGGGTCTCACCCTGTAGCCCAGGCTGGCCTATGGCTCACTAGCCGAGGACAGCCTGTAATTCATGGCAATTCTTCCACAGTTTACTGTGTAGCCCAGGTTACTTTAAAACTCTCAGCCACCTTCCGGTGTCAGGCTCCTGTGCCATCAAGCCTGCCTTTCCAGCATTTTCTTTTCTTTTCTGGGGACCAGATGCAGAGACTTTCCAAGCTGCCCAGTCTGGCATCCGAACTTGTCCTGCAGCCCCAGTGCGCCTTGAACTTGGTTCTCCTGCCTTAGCCTCCTGGGGAGCTGGGATTATAGGCCTGCACCATCAGAATTACTTTAGAGAAGGAAGACAGAATTACTTTTTTGTGTACTTAAAACAAGTCAATTGCCGGGCGTTGGTGGTGCATGCCTATAGTCCCAGCACTCAGGAGGCAGAGGCAGGCGGATCTCTGTGAGTTCGAGGCCAGCCTGGTCTACAGAGAGAGTTCCAGGACAGCCTCCAAAGTCACAGAGAAACCCTGTCTGGAAAAACCAAAAAAGAAAAAAAAAAAGAAAAAGTCAATCTCAGACACCAGAGTGGGTGTCAACAGGCTTATTCTGTGAAATTCAGGAAGTATTTATTGAGCACATTGGTATGCCCAGGCTGGGCTTGGCACCACTGAGTTATAGAAACCCTTGCCATTCAGCAGCCCACAGAGTAGGTAGTGAAGTAAGATGCAGGAGGGCCGCCGGCTCCCAGCCCTCTCTCTCTTGTCTTTCTCTCCAGTTCTTCCAGATGAGCTGCAGGTATCTGCTGCCCCTCCAGGGTCCCGAGGCCGGCAGGCTGCAGCCTCCCCGTCCCGCCTGACAGTGCATGAGGGGCAGGAGCTGGCGCTGGGCTGCCTGGCTCAGACCAAAACAAAGAAGCACACGCACCTGTCTGTATCCTTTGGGAGAGCCGTTCCTGAGGCGCCAGTGGGGCGGGCCACTCTACAGGAAGTAGTGGGACTGCGCTCCGACATGGCGGTGGAGGCTGGAGCTCCCTATGCTGAGAGGCTGGCTGCGGGGGAGCTGCGGCTGAGCAAGGACGGGGCTGATCGGTACCGCATGGTGGTTGGGGGTGCCCAGGCTGCGGACTCAGGCACCTACCACTGCACTGCCGCTGAATGGATCCAGGATCCTGACGGCTCCTGGGTCCAGATCGCAGAGAAGAGGGCAGTCCTGGCCCATGTGGATGTGCAGACACTGTGTGAGTGCCACTTGTCCCCCTGAGGGGCCATCGCAGTGGGCATCGGGTTGTGACCGTCCTCTGACTACGTCATCTTCTGTGGAGTGAGCAGCCGCCTAGGCACTATTCGCTCAATTCACGTTTTCTATGCTCAGCAACTGGATGTGGAGATACACGGGCTGTGGTGGAAGGGTGAAATTCAGGTCCCGGGGTGAGGGATGGATAAAAGGCTTCTGCATTTTTGCAGAGAGGTATTGTAGATGGGGACCCAGGCGTCTCTTTGACCCCTCCCTTCCCCTGCTGTATTTCAGCCAGCCAGCTGGCAGTGGCAGTGGGACCTGGTGAGCATCGGATTGGCCCAGGGGAACCCTTGGAACTGCTGTGCAATGTGTCAGGGGCACTGCCCCCACCAGGCCGGCATGCCGCGTACTCAGTGGGCTGGGAGATGGCTCCGGCCGGGGCGCCTGGGCCTGGCCGTCTGGTGGCCCAGCTGGACACAGAAGGTGTAGGCAGCCTGGGCCCTGGCTATGAGGGCCGCCACATTGCCATGGAGAAAGTGGCATCCAGAACCTACCGGCTACGATTGGAAGCTGCCAGGCCCGGCGATGCAGGCACCTACCGCTGCCTTGCCAAAGCCTATGTTCGAGGGTCTGGGACCCGGCTTCGTGAAGCGGCCAGTGCTCGTTCCCGGCCCCTCCCCGTGCATGTGAGGGAAGAAGGTGAGAGCTGAGCCCGTGACAGGGTTCAGAGCTTCCAGAGCTTATCTCCTAGCCTCTGGGCCTTCACCCTGTAACCCCCATGTCCTTTGCTCTGCAGGTGTGGTTCTGGAGGCCGTGGCTTGGCTCGCAGGGGGTGCTGTGTACCGGGGAGAGACTGCCTCCCTGCTGTGCAACATCTCTGTGCGTGGTGGTCCCCCAGGGCTGCGACTGGCAGCCAGCTGGTGGGTGGAGAGACCAGAGGAGGGCGAGTTAAGCTCTGGCCCTGCTCAGCTTGTGGGTGGAATGGATCAGGATGGCGTGGCCGAGCTGGGAGTCCGGCCTGGAGGTGGTCCGGTCAGTGTGGAGTTGGTGGGACCCAGAAGTCATCGGCTAAGACTGCACAGTTTGGGGCCTGAGGATGAAGGCGTATACCACTGTGCTCCAAGCGCCTGGGTGCAGCATGCCGACTATAGCTGGTACCAGGCTGGCAGCGCGCGCTCCGGGCCTGTCACAGTCTACCCTTACACGCATGGTGAGTGATAACTGCCCTCCACTCGCCTGCTCCAGTGTCTGCCCCTTCCTCTTCCCCGGCTTCCCCGCTCTCCTTTTCCTGCATCCCTTTGCACGGAGCCCCAAGCTAACCTCTGCGCTCATTGGGGCGGTTGTGGGTGGGCAGGGGCTGCCCTCTGTGAATAGGGGCTGAGTCTAGAAATCCTGCCAGACACCTGTACTACAGCGGGGGGGGGGGGGGCGAGGGGAACCATGGCACTCTCTAAGCAGAGCCGTCTTTCTTCCAGCCCTGGACACCCTATTAGTCCCCCTGTTGGTGGGTACAGGAGTCGCTTTAGTCACTGGCGCCAGTGTCCTTGCTGCGATCACCTGCTGCTTTATGAAGAGGCTGCGGAAGCGGTGATCTGTAGCATCCCAGGTGAGGGGAAGGGACCCCCAGGCTCCTTCTTCCTCGGGCTTCCTGTGTGCTCCATCTGGACGAGAAGCTGCCAGCTCAGTCAAGCCGGCAGGGTCATGTAGCAGGGCGAGTGCCGAAGGGAGCCTGGTCCTCAGCCTGCTCCACATGTTCTCTCTAGTTTCTGCAGGTGTCCACTGTCTTCCAGCCAGTGCCGCCCCTCCTCCGGTTGCCTAGATACCCTCTCCCTCCTCCGTGTAGCCCTCCTTTAATTTATTTGACCTGTCTCTGCCTAGAGCGAAAGACAGGACTCCGGGTCCCTCACACCTTTCCTCTGGTTCTCTGTTCTTGGTCTCACACTCATGCTGTAGGAAGGCCAGTTCCTGTCCTCCAACTAGTTTTGTTTTGTTTTCTAAAATGTGAATAAACTGGTTTTGTAAAATCCAGGCCTGGTTGTGTCTTCCCTTACCATGAAGCTATAAAAGGCAGCAGCAGGGGTGCATGGGAGGGTGTGGTTAGTAGGGATGTTTCTGGGGGTTGACAACCTATTCTGGACAACCCAGGCCTCTTTTCCCACCATAAACACCATCTGTCCCCCGTGGGCCTCGCTACCCACCCACTGCAGGAGGGGATGCCTGGGTCCCATCTGTTGCCTAAGATGTCAGTGCGGAGCCAACTTCTAATGGGGTTCTATATAGGAAGAGAGGGTGAGTTCCAGCCGAACCTGGTCCCCTCCACAGCTTCCAGGGACAAGTCTTTCAGAGCTCCCCAAACTGGGCACACCCTCCTCGTCTCTTTCTCCTGGTTGGGCTAGTCTCCGACCAGACTCCTCCCACCAGGCCCTGGGGCCTCAGTCTTTGTCATCCTGACCTTAATTATTCTCTGTCTGCAGCAGAATAGGAGCCTCAGAACACAGCTGCCTGCTTAGGGACAACAGCAGTTTGGGGGGGGGGGTTCCTCTGCTTTCCGTGTACACAGAGCTGCTGCATCTCCCTGCCGGAAGGTTCTGGAGAGTCTCGGCTGTTCAGTGCTCCAGGCGGCATCCAGTCTACCCTTTTTCATTTAGTAATTTAACATTTATTGAGCATCACGAGTTTGCCAAGTATCATTTTTTACAGATAAGGGAACTGAGGCCCAGAGAAGTAGTGTGTCTTGCTGAGAGTCATGGAGGTAATTAGTGACAGTCAGCACAGGCACTAGAACACAGGTCTCCTGACTGTCCCGGACAGTGGTGCCCCGGGTGGCGGCGTCTCAGCGACTTCCAGGAGCAGCTTCAGTGTCTCCACTCTAATGCTTTGTATGAGGATGCCAAGCACCCCACCCCCTCTCGCGCAGATTCCACCTTTTCCCCAGAATTCAAACCCTGGCCTCTCCCTGTGCTCTAGCCCAATATGTGTATGCGGGACTCCAGCTGATACTTGTTCAAGGACCTCATTTTTGAGGGTGACCCAAGTGGTCCTGAAACCCGAGTCCAGAGTTAGGCTGAAGGGGAGAGGTGACAGCTTGCATCCTCTGAATGGACCAAGCTGAGATGGGCACTGGGAAGGAGGCACGGTGTCCCACTGGATGCTGGCTTCTTAGCCTGGAACAGAGCAGCAGACCTTTATTCAAGGACGGGAGTGGGTGTAGCCAGGTTTGAACTAGCCCCGTCAGAGGATACGTTCACTGGGCTACCCTTCGCTCCAGGGGCCAGCTTCGAGCCTTTGATCTTCTGCCCCTCACCTTGCCATTGCTCTCCCCTCACCGTCCCGAGATGACTGGGGACAAGGCCGGGATGCAGTGGGGTGGGAGTATGTGTCTCCAGGCCCAGGGTTCCCTGTCCTGGCAGGAGGGCAGGCTGCAGATACCCGGAAGTATAAGCTCCGTTTTCTCCTCTAGTCAACTTTGCTTGTCAGCCCTGCTGGCGAATCTGTCCTTTGTGTTGAAGCCCACTGAGCCTCAGCTGCTCGCTGCCTCCTCAGGAGTCCCCTAAAGGCCTTCTTATTGTTTCCACCTGTCTCTGTGACGCCACCTCCGGTGTCACTGGCCAGTTACCGCTGACGTTTCCGTTCTGGGACCTAGAGTTACCAAGTTCTTCAGCCTGGACCTGGGTCCCTTTCCTCGACATTTCCCTCCTCATCTTTCTGTCCCTGGCTTCTTTTCGGCACCTGCAGCTTCTACCTCGCCTCATTCCAGTGCAGTCCCCAGACTAACAGTGTCAGCACCATCCAGGAACCTGTCAGATCTGGGAACTAGTTAGACATGCAGGTTTTTGGTTTCCATCCCGGACCTACTGAGTCAGAATGATGGGAGTGGGACCCAGCAATCTGTTTTAACAAGCCCTCCAGGTGAGTGACGCAAAGCTCTGTAACTGCCAGTTCCCACCATTCTCCCTGCCTTACTCAAGCCTTAGTTTCCGGGTTGCTAATACCCTTTTCTTGCCGGAAGAGCTTCCGGTGGGCTCCTAGTATGAGCCACACTTCCTTCAGTTGCTGTGGGGCCTTTCTGATCTCCACCTGCGTAGTGCTCTGCTGTTAGGACCAGGTGTTTGAATACACACCTGATTGATACCCAATGCTATTTTGAATGGGCCCTTGTCACTATGTCCCAAGGATAAACTACTTTCCCCAGGATCAGGCTTCCCTCATAAAACCACTTATTAAGTCTCCCAGGGCCTTTCTTCCCCTTCAAGGTTCACAAAATAGTTGTCCTCGGGTCTCTCCTGGTCCTGCTCCAGGGCCCCTGCTCAGTATCTACCCCCTTTGCTTGTTTGCCTATACCCTGAGGTTTAAGGCTGTGGACACCTTTCTAAGCCTATCATAGTGGGGTAGTGAAGCTGGATATGGTCACACCTGTGCCCTCATGCACCCAGTTTTCTCTTCTCTGGCTCAGCAGTGACTGCTTTGTCTAGACAGGTGTGTCACACGTGGGAGGCCAGCTAAGGAGGTGAGTGGCTGCGGTGATTCATGTGTCACTCTACCCCCTTAAGCCGGGCACGCTGGTTTAGCCGTGTCCCCTGCTTTGAGGCTGCCTCTGTCTGGAAGAAAAGGGTACTGGTAGGTTTCGCATGAAGGTGTGCTGCGGGTTGAGGCAGGACTGACTTCACCAACTCTTGGTCCATTTGCCACCCAAGCTGTCCATATGGCTGTCTCTGTCTGCTCCACCTTCCCATTCAACCCCGTAGGCCCATCCTTCCACCCACAAACAGATGTGAAGGTCAAACACAGAGAGACTGACGGGTGCTTTTACCCCCATCCTCTCTTCTCTTCAAACCGGGACTTCTTCCTTCCCTGCCGGATCCTGGGCTCAGTGGGCCTCTCCCAACTGTAGCCATCCCTTGGGACATTGGCTGCCTCCTCTTCTTCCATCACCATCCTGCAGCTCCCACGTACCTGCGTCTAGCCCCCTGGTCTGCCACAGGGGTCTGGAGAAAACCAGTCACACCTTGGACTCACTCTCTGGGGGTGGCAGGCGGCCATTCTGCTCCTTGTCAGCCCCATCGTCCCCACCTGCTCCCTCCCCAGCCCCCTCTTCCTCCACCTTCTCATCCAGCCTGCTAGGGATGGACCAGTAGAGATGGGCATCGAGGCGGGCTGCAGCTTCTGCCAACTCCCTGGCACTGCATGAGGGTGTGGGCACCTCAAAGGTCTCGTGGAAGCTGGCGTAGTCCACCTCGTAGAAGCCGTCCTCCAGGGTGAGCACAGATGTGAACCGATGGCCCCACAGCACTTCATCTACCAGGTAGGAGCTTCGAGCTTGGCAGGTCATCCCTGTGGGGAGGGGAAGCGGCGGGCACCGTTAGCCAAAGGGATTGCAGCCTGAGCTTCCTCTCCCGCCTCTCGCCCCACAACCCTCTCTTTCCCCAAGAATCCCTCCTGTCTTTGGTCAGCTCTCTTCTCCATTTGCCAGCTCTCCTTTGAGAATCTTAATCTTAAAACTAACCTTAGGCATCATCTGGTCCAGATTCCCACTTCTCATAGTCTGCTTGTTCAACCCCCAAGCATTCACAAATAATGGGCAGCTGACTGAGTTGATTACCTCCCAGGATTGGAAACTCACCACCCCATTAGAAGGCCAGTTCTTTGTGTATTGCATTAGTGTGTGTGTGTGTGTGTGTGTGTGTCACAGCATGTATGATCACTCCACAATATGAGAGCTGGAGATCTAACTCAGGTCCCCAGTCCTGGTGGCAAGTACCTACGCTTGCTGAGCCATCTGGCTCTGGGTTGTCTTTTATACAAGCTGGAATCCTTCCCCTAGGATCCCTCCACCTCATTCCCATCCCACCCGACGCTCCCTTAGTGGCTGTCAATATAGAGCCAGGTTCCCTTAGGTCTCTTCCTCAGATTGAACACTCATGAGCGTTTCTCACTTGTTCTGGCTTTGGAAAAGTTTACTATCTTCACTGCAGATGAGAATGGTCAGAGAGGGCCACCAGATAGGGGTCCATCTGAAGTGGGATGACTTTTCCAGTTGTGGCCTCTTTGTGCATAAGCGCAGGCTCTTGCTTCTGGCCAGGATGCTCTAGCGAAGTGGCCTGTGATTACATTACATAAATGCCTGTGGAAGCTGATCACGTTGCTACAGCAAAGCCTGTGGCCAACTAAACCCCCAGTTCTTTCTCCACCAGAGCCTTTCCGTGCTGTGCTTACATAAGAGTTTTTTTTTTAAAGCCTAAATGTAGAATTTTATATTTATTCCCTTTAAATGTCATCGTGTTGGGTTTTTGGCTCATTATTCTTGCTTTTCAAAAGCAGTTTGGATCCCAAAATACTACCATCCTCCCCAGCTTTATCTCTAGAAACATCAAACAAGCTCCCACCCCCATGTCCTTTACCCTGCCCTTCTCAGTCCTTGCCCTGGGTCTGTGTCCTGCCTTCCCTGCTCGGATTGTGCACCCTCCCCTCAGGGCAGATCGTTTTGGTCCTACTTCAGAGTCTCCCCAAACTAATGCCATCTCAGAAACAGAGGTGTAGACGTTCACCAGCCAGAGACTGGCTGACATTGAAAGTCTGGCCCCGTGACATCTTGGAGACATTGGTACTCTGTGGCAAAGCTGTACCCAGCGAAGGTTGGGAAGGAGAGGCCCCAGGGCTTCTACAGAGAGAAGGCCTGAGAAGCAGGGATGGGGCTGCGGGGTGTAGGGGTGCGGGGAGGCAGAAGCAAAAAAAGTTGTTGTAGGAAAACTGCCCCGGATAGTGTCAAAAAGGAGAGCGGCTATCTGGAGAGACGAGAGACATGGGGAGTTGTAAGGGCAGGGGAAGGATTAGGACCAGCCCAGCTGGGGTGAAGGAGGAGTGGGGGGAACTGAGATGGTGCTGAGGCAGAGGCTGTTTCTGCCTAGGACCCGGAGCCCGGCCGGTTTCAAGGCTAGCAGCAGGGAGCAAGCCCGTCAGTAGCAGCGCCGTGGCTCCCCCTAGTGGTCCTTTGGTTCTCCACCTGCATGTTCCTTATCGTCTTTGGTGGCTAGGACCTCTAAGGGACCTGCTTTTGCTCCCATCCTGGTCCCAAGCTCTTGACAGTGTAGGCCTGAGTGAAGGCGTTGACGTCACACTTCCTTCTGGAAAGGTGCTAGAAATCGCAACATCAGGGGACATTAGGAGTAACAGGTGGGTAACTGAGGCAGAAGTGAGACCAGTTCTCACCTCCCCACACCTAAGTTTGCCTCCTTGGGGAATAGCTCAGGACAATCTAATTCCAGGGCTCTGAACCTCGGGGCGTCAAGAACCTGCACTTAACCTTCATCCCAGCACCGTACTAGGAAACACGGAAGATAGACTTCCTGTGCTCAACCCAGGCTGCTATTTATTGGCTTGTGACAGCGGGCTATTTATGGGACCTGTCTTTGGGGTTACTCGCTCTCTGGAAAGTGACCACAGTAATAAGTAACCTCCAGGGGAACCTTGCTAGGATTAAATGAATTCAGAGATGTAAAGTGCTATTCAAAGTGACATACCTGTCAAGCCAGGGCCTCAAACTAGCATCATTTCATAGAACTCTTCCAAGCTTTATCTTGACTCTGCAAAGTCACCCTGTCCATCCCTTTCGTTTCCAGCCCTGACCCAGCGCACCCTCCTCCTCCACCTGTCACCCTAGACTCCACTCCCTGTCCATCTTTCTGCAACCCCTTCCCACGGTGCCTTTCTCGCTACTGCCCTGAGTCACCGCTCCCGTCCTCCATCCTGCCCGCACCCGTGGCCTCCACCATGCCCTCTAGAATGACCACGATCTCGAAGTCGTCCCTCTCGAGGGCGCGGCGAGACGCCTCCCAGAAGGGGCTGGCGGCATCGATCTCGTGGCTGATGACGAGAGGTGAGACGAGGAAGAGGCGGTCGTCCCCCGTGTCGAAGCCCACGCTGAGGTCAGTCTGGTGCAAAGGGATGAACTCGCCCTCGAGCGTCTGGCGTGAGCGGATGAGCTTGGCGCGGATGGAGGCCTCGACGATGTGCGAGGATCGCAGGTCGCCCACGCGGAACATGAGGCAGAGGCGGCCGTCGCGCAGAGACACCACGGCGTGCGAGGAGAAGACCAGCGTGGCGGCCCGCTTGTTGGGCTGCGAGATCTTGACGAACATACAGCCCACCATGAAGGCGTTCACCATGGAGCCCAGGATGGCCTGCAGCAGCAGCAGCACGATGCCCTCGGGGCACTGGTCGGTAATGACGCGGTGCCCGTAGCCGATGGTGGTCTCGGTCTCGATGGAGAAGAGGAAGGCGGCCACGAAGCCATTGAGGTTGTTGACGCACGGGGTCCACGCGGTGTCCTCCAGGTGCTCCAGGTCGCCGCGGCCGTAGGCGATGAGCCACCAGATGGCGCCGAAGAAGAGCCAAGTGAGCGCGTAGGCGAGCACGAAGAAGAGCAGGCTGAGGCGCCACTGCAGGTCCACCAGCGTGGTGAACAGGTCGGTCAGGTAGCGGTAGGTCTCGCGCACGTTGCCCTGCTGCACGTTGCAGCGCCCGTCCTTCTCCACGTAGCGCTGGCGGCCACGGCGCCGGGGCGGCTCCTCCGACACCGGCGAGAAAGCGGCATTCTCCTGCGCCATGGCGGCCGCAGCCGGAATCCTGCGGGGACTTAAGAAAGGTGTGCCGGAGTTGCTGGATCCACCCCGAACTCAGCGTCTCTTAGCCTCAATTTCCCCCCATGTGGTGGAATGGGAGCTACAACCCTAACAGCCCACAAGCTCAGAAAGCTGGTTGCTCTTCCAGAGGATCTGGAAACGTTTGACTGCCAGCACCCACATGTGGGCTTACAGCCGGTTGTCACTCCAGTCCCTTGCCCTCTTCTGGCCTCCGAGAGTGATGCGCAGACATACATGAAGGCAAAACACTCATACACATAAAATAAAAATGAAGATTAAGAAAAAGTATGGAGCACACAGGCAATGAGCAAAACTGGGCAACACAGTGTGAGTTCAGTGGGTAGGAGGCGTGAGAGATCTCCTTGTCCCAGATCGCGGTGTCGCTACCTCAAGCCGGAGTATGTAGCACCCCACAGGCAAGCCCAGTTAGACACCTGGGATTCTAAAACCGGAAGAGCTGGGCTCCTGGGCAGTTCCTTCTCTATGCAGAGCCCTCTCTGCCATGAGGGCTTCCAACCCTCTTTCCGCGGCTATTATCCGTTCCCCCAGGACTCTTCTTCATCATCCTATTGGAAGACCCATCTAAATACTGTTTTAAAGTTCATACCAAGACTATTCCCTCTCTTATCTTCCTGAATCTCACTTTTTCCACCTCTTCCTATATCTTTTCTCCACCCAAGACTTACCAAGGAGAAAAAAATGCAAACTGTGCACAAAAACACCCCTCCAATGTGCAAAGGTTGAATGTTCCCAACATTAGGAAATTCCCGCTGGCAATTCTGACTGCCTAACCATGGTCACTGATGCTCTGACATCAGCCCATCTCCTGGGCTCTTTCCCAAAGCAGATGTGCTGAACAGGGTTAGCAATAGGAGGCTGGAGGCCATGTGAGGTCAACTGCCCACAGCAAGAATAAGGGAAGCGCCAGGCCATCCAGGGTTACTCTAGTCTAGTATCTTCCAACTCTATTCTTTCTAAGAGATAAGCAATCAGACCAAGTGAGACACCAAGTGCCCACATCAATCCCCTCCCAGTTTCCTGCTTTGCATTTACTACCCTGTCATCAAGCCCACCCACGCCAGCCATATGTCTCAAAGCCCACATTCCAAGCAGAGCCGAGATTCCAAGCAAAACCCACCTGGTTTGGTTTCAAATTCTTCCCCCTGAGATGCACTCTGAGTTGCAGTCTTCCCTGAGAGACGGATGTCCAGAGTCCTTCCCTAGGCGCTTAGGGTCCCCTAAGAGATATGGACCATATGAACCAAGGATTTAGGATACAGCAACATTCCTTTCTGTCTTCTGGAACTTGTGATCTCCCATTCCATGGGAACCTGGGGGAGGAGAGGCAGGAGGGCTGGGAGGGCAAGGGAGCGCAAGAATGTGACATAAGCTTCACAGATGGCTTGGATGACCAGGTCCTAGGGAGAAACAGCATGGATATGTAACTACAAGCCCGACACTCCAGTTTTAAAATTTTGGAGTGAAGTGTTCTGCAGCCGGGCCTTTGGAGGATGTGTGCATGTTAGGTAAAAGGCAGAAAGAGAAACCACAGAGACGGTTTGTATCCTAAGAGCCCCCACACTTATTTCCATGGGAGTCAAGAGACACAAACACCTTGGCAATGGCAGATTCGGTCTTCCCCTCCCCCAACAGCAGGCTTGCTTTCTCTCTCTGCAACTCAGAGTGTCCTCTGGAAGTGGTCTGGAAGTACTCAGTGTCCCAGGACCCAGGTCTCTTTTTTCCTAGCAGTAGCGTCAGGCGGGCTTCCTGACATTCTTCTAAGGGTCTTGGGTAATCTGACCTCTGTCTATGGCCAGGAATGGGGAAGGGATCCTAGTGTCCGATCGTCCCCAAAAGACTGATTGCCCAGGGAAGCTTCTGATGCGTCCTAGCTGTTGTCATCCAGGGGAAGGGTCTCTTCTTCATGGGACAGGAAAGGCATGCACTGTCCACCACCTGAAGAGCAAGGTCTTCATTTCTGCCTCTTCCCTCCAAATAACTCCAGCTTTCCCCACCACAGTTCTCGGGCATGCTGGGACCACTTTCAGTAAGATCCCAGCACATTTTCTTGGTGCTGTTTTCTTCCCAATAGGGAGTGCTGGCCAGTATGGGGGGGGGGCTTATCTTTTATAAGAGGTCTCTCTGGTGGAAACTCCCTCAGGAACCAGCTCCACCCAAGCCCCACTTGCCTTAGAAATCGGGGCCCAAACCCCAAGTCCCACAACTCAACTCACAGAGCCTGGAGAGGAGAGGAGCCAGCAGCAGAGACCCTTGGGGGTTGGTGCCCATGTCCCTGACACCATCTCCCGGCTACCATGGGTCCCCTCTGAGAGTGGGAGCCGCAGACACTGCTGTTTCTCCTAATGTGCAGCAGCTCAGACTAGGACTTGGTATCTGTGTCATCCCCACTTCCCAGGTTCCCCTGCTCCTCTCTCGTTTCCATGGCAACCAGTCTGGCTACAGCTCCACAGCGGCGCCCTCCCTTTCCCAGTCCTGGGTACCACTCTGGTTGATCCACACGCCATAGCTATTTTTAGCCAAAGTACCTCCTCCTGGACACTGACAGTTGTCTCCTCACCCTTTTACAGGGGGAATAGCGTGCGTGAGGGGGATGACGAGGGGGGGGACTTGGCATATTGGCCCTTTTCTAAGAGGCTCCTCATTCTGGGAAAATAGAGCCCTGGATGTGTTGGGAATAAGATGTTTGATTTCAGGGCTCATCTGGGAGCTCACAGCTCATGATACCCCGCAGGGACCACTGGGTAAAGGCGCTGCCCTCAGACCAGGCTCACCACTGCAGGCTCCACTTTCGAAGAGCCCTCTGAGGAAGCAAGCAACAGCTAGAAGGAGAAGAGGTCTGTGAAGGTAGGGGCGAGAGGCAGGGCCAGACGTTCTGTCGTCACGGATACACACACGATGTGACAGAAGTGCCTTCGCTGAGCCACAGTTGTTCTGTCTCAGAGTGTGGGCATGGCAAACAGCTCTTCCGCCTGCTTCACAGGGGATGCAGGCCAAATTAGGCAATGTACATAGAAGGGTTTTGAGATGTATGTTGCTAATAGCAAAAAGTTGAGAAAACCCTCAAATGTCCAACAGAGAGAAAAGTTCAGGCTAGTGCTCACTATCAACAAATCTACGGGGCTCAAATGCCCCACACTATGCTAGCTAGATTATGAAACGAAGGGATTCCTACCCAGAAGCAGCTTCTGATGCCATGGGAAGGAAAGACACAGAACTACATAGGACTATTGCTAATCCACCAAGCACCAGCTCATTGGATGCCTATGAGACAGTTATTTTTTTCTACCTACAGATGAGGAAAGTAGCTTATTAAATTCCAGAGCTGAACAGAGATAAGAGCCACACATCTTGTTACTGCCCTCAAATTTATCATAAGAAAAGACTTGTGATATTTTTGTATGTTAGGCAACCCTGCCCCCAGGTCTTACCGTCTAGCCCAGGTTGGCTTCAACTTCCTCCGTGTTGGGATTATAGGCATGTATACAAAAGACTTTTTTCAAAGGGTAGTTTTAAATTTACAGAAAAAATGAGAGAGAGAGAGAGAGAGAGAGAGAGAGAGAGAGAGAGAGAGAGAGAGAGAGAGAGAGAGAGAGGAACCTGGGGAGATGCTCAGTCAGTAAAGTGCTTGCCCTACAATGAGGACCTGAGTTTGGATCCTCAGCACCTATGTAAAAAGCAGGACCTGGCGGCAAGCACCTATAGTTCTGGCTCTGGGAAGACAGAGACAGGAGGATGCCTGGAGCCCTCTGGCCAGTCAGCATCACTGAACTGGTGAGTTCCAGGTTTAATGAGGGAATCGGCCTCGAAAATAAGATGGAGAGTGACATAGGAAGACACTGATTTCTGGCCCTGTGTGCACACACGTGTACATGCACACATACAGATGTATAGACACACAAATTGAGAGAAAGGCACAAAGAGTTCCCTCGTGCCCTCTGCCTGGCATATACACAGCCTTCCCCACTATCAACATCCCCAGTGAGAACAGTAGCTTGGTTACAATCGACACACCTTAATTGGCACAGCATGATCACCAGTCTCCAGCTCTCATTAGAGCTTTCTTCTGCTGCCTTAACTCTGGAACGATGTATCGTGGCATGTATCCACCATTACGGTGTGGAGTGCTCTTCTCTGTTCTTCACTTACTCATTCCATTCTCCCAATAGCCTTTGGCAATCTCTGATTTTTTAACTGTTTCCATCGTTCTGTCTTTTCCCGAGTGTCATGGGGTTGGAATCATACACTATGTAGCTCCTCAGACTGGCTCCTTTTTACATTTAAGGTTGTTGCACGCATTTTTACAGCTCCATAACTCGTTTCTTTTTGATACTGAGAAATAGTCCATTGCCAGGATGTACCTGGTTCATTTGTCCACTCACTCACTGGAAGACATTTTGCTTTCAGTTTTTGTCAATTACAAATAAAGTTGCTATAAACATCTGTTGTGCAGGATTTTTATTTGGAAAAGTTTTCAGCTTTTGGGGAGGTAAATACCAAGGAGTATGGTTGCAATATCATGTGGGAAGAATATGTTTAGTTTTGCAGGTGACTGCCAAACCGTATTCCAAAGTGACTGTACCATTTTTTAGCCTGTTCCTGTTGCTCTATATCCTTGCCAGCATTTTGGTACTGTCAGCTTCATGAGTTTTACATCACCACAGAAATGCGGTAACTGTAGCCTTCAGTATAATAGGTTACTGCAAAGTCATGGTAGCTGATATGATTATGTATGCGAATGTGCATGTAGATAGTGCTGTTACATAAAAAAGGAATACATTGGCTGGAGTTCAAGATCAAGAGTTCAAGACCAACCTGGGATACACATCATGTTCAAAGCCAGACTCAGTTACATGAAAACTTTTCTTTAAAAAAGAAAGGAAAGAAGGAAAGAAGAAAGGGAGGATGAAAGAGAGAAAGAGAGAGAGAGAGGGAAGGAAGGAAGGAAGGAAGGAAGAGAAAGAAAAGGAAACCAAGATATAAAATATGCATACAAACTGATTATTGTTATATGAAAGCAACTGCAAAATGACTGATTAAAAATTAGAAACTGTGACAGGGTGGTGGTGGCTCACATCTTTAATCCCAGCACTCGGGAGGCAAAGACAGGTGGATCTCTGTGAGTTTGAGACCAGCCTGGTCTACAAGAGCTAGTTCCAGGACAGCCTCCAAAGCCACAGAGAAACCCTGTCTCGAAAAACCAAACAAAAATTTAGGAAATGTTTTGGAGAAATAAAAATATTTCAATGTTAATTTCCCTGAGAATTTATTTACTCATTTACTTATTTATTTGCATTGCTGTGGATAGAACCCAGGGCCTTGCACATGGTAGTCAAGGAATGTGCCGCAGAGCTGCATCCCCATCCTCAGGGAAATGAGAAAAGCAAAGAGTGGTATATAAATTGAAGCTGTTATTATTGCTGTCACCAATATTGTTATGTGCAAGATGCTTTCTATGTGTTCTCCTGAGCCTTAACGTGGCAAGGACACATAACTAGAAGAGTGGGAATATGACTGCACATTAGAAGGCTAGAAGTTTCTGGAATGTACTGAAGAATATGATTGGTGTATGGAGCAATGTACATTTTAGAGGCAATGACTTGAGTTCAAACCCTACTCCATTCTTTTTTCTCTTTATTTTTGTTTCCTCCTCCTCTTCATCTTCGTCTTCTTCTTTTTCTTCTTCCTTCTCCTTCCCCTCTTCCTCTTCCTCCCTTCCTCCCTCTTCTTTCTTTTGACAAAGTCTCATTATGAATCCTTGGCTGGCCTGGAACTCATTACATATATAGTCCAGGCCAGACTTGAACGTGTATCTCCTCCTGCTTCTGTCTCTCTAGTTCTGGAAGTACAGACATGAGCCACCATGTTTGAAAAATGTTAGCTCTTTAAATCTAAGAAATGAGAACAACTATGTTGTATTAGTCGCTTTTTGTTGCTATGACAGAATAACCGAACCAATTTAAAAGACAAAAAGTTATTTTTGGTTCCCAGTTTCAGTCTAGGGTTCTTTGGCTCCATTTTTCTTGGGTCACATGAGACAGAGCATCGTGATAGGCAGCAGGGAAAAGCAGACCTCACGGAGAATGGAGAGGTGGAGATGGGGAGAGAGAAGGGGAGCGCAAAGGCAAAGGAAAATATGAGGAGAGAGGAAGAGCTGCTCTTTTAGAGCAGAGGTTCTCAACCTGTGGGCCATGCCCCCTTGGTGGTCACATATCAGATATTTACATTACAATTCATAACAGTAGAAAAATTAGGGTTATGAAGTAACAATGCTGTAATGTTACGGCTGGGGGTCACCACAACACAAGGAGCTGTATTAAAGGGCTGAAGGATTAGAAAGGTTGAGAATCACTGTTCTAGAGCATGCCACTGGTGGACTACTTCCTCCAGGTAGTCTACTTATAGTCCATTCAGGGTTATTCGATCAATGGATTAATTCACCAATGAAGTCATCTCCTTCTTCACAATCTAATCACTTCCCAATAGTACCACAAACTGGGCCTCTAAACCTCCAATACTTGGGGCTTTAGGGAGGGGCATTTCATATGGAAGCCACAATAGTGTCTACTTCTTGAAGATTGTTTACATAAGATCCAACATACTGTATTTTCCTCTTGCTTTTTCCTTGCAACCGCCATCTTCATCATCTTCATTGTCACCCTCCTCACCCTCATCCTCATCATCTCAGGGGACTCCTGAGATCCCTATCCAGCAGGGCCTGCCCTCCTCTTTTCTGACATCACCCAGTGAGACCTGCAGGGGGCTCTCCCTGTTCACTGACCTCTCTCCAGTCCTGTTGGCTGTCTCTCATTGTTCCAAGTGGAAATATCAGGTTTTTGCCCGAGATTGGCATCAACAGTGCTGTTAAAGCCCCAGTCAACATCCCTGTCTCCTGGGCCTGGCTCTGTCACCTGAGCCAGGGGACTGCTAGCTTGCTCTTCTCTGCCCTGCCAAGTGGCTGCTCACATTGGTTTCACTGTGCCAGGCGTTCAGAGAGAAGAAACCAAACTCCAAGGCGAGAACATGTTTGCAAAGAGCTGGCCCCCTTTTCTGCAGGGACAGTCACAGAGGTGACAGTGCCCTCCAGGTGTTGTTAGCCAGCCCTCTGACTCCATCCTGGCTGCCCTGAGCTTAACCTAGCTGACAGGCAACAACACTCCTTTGCATGGCGTCCATATCCTCCAGGTCTGGGCTTAACTTGTTAAGTTTAACCTCAATTCCTATTTATCTAGCTTGAACTGAGGCAGGAGAAAAGAAAATTTTGCAAGCCACCAGTGTACAGAAAAAATAGGTAAGATTCTAGATTTTCTGTTCCAAGAGAACAAAAGCAGTTCTGCAAGCGATCAAGCCCGATATGTCAGTGGAGTTGTAATAAATGAAGATTGGAAGATAGAGGACACTGGGGACCGGAAGGCCACCTCTGGAGCCACACTGATGGTCTACAAAGAACCATGGGGTGGAGCTGGGGAGATAGCTTAGTGCACAGAATATTTGCGGAGCAAGCATGAGGACCTGGGTTTGGATCCACAGCACCCACATAGACGCTGGGCACGACAGCATATATGTATAACCCCGGCATCGGCCTCTAACCTCTACACATGCCTGCTTGGTGAGGGCTAACACATGTGCGCGCGCACACACACACATATGCACTGGCACACATGCGCGCAACACACATTTTGATGTAAACTAGAACAGCTCTCTGCAGATATCTCAGTTTTGTGGGGAGTCTAAAGAAGAGGTAGGGTTTGAGTTTCGCTGCTGCTGTTTTGAGGTGAGGGTAGGGACATTCCCTTCCTTTCCCCAACAGCTGGGAGTTTGTGTGTGAGATGAGTGCAGCGTAGCCTTCTGCTCACGCTCACTCAGCGGCAGCTCCTTTGTTGTCAGCTGTGGGGTCAGTCAACCTGGGAAGGCTTCGTGAACGAGATCATGAGACTTCCTGGGAAAAAGTGTGGAGAAGGGGGAAGGAAGTATGAAAGGGAAGGCGGGAGATGGTTGAGGATGTGAGTTTAGTGGAACAGGAAGGTCAAGTCAGTCCACATAACAACTGGTATAAATTCAAGGAGTGTGTGTGTGGTGCACACTTTAAACCCCAGCATGTGAGAACACTGGCAGGTGGATCTCTGTGTGTTTGAGGCCACCGTGGTCTGTATAGTGAGTTCCAGTTCAGCCAGAATGACATGGTGAGGCATCATCTCTACATGAATAAATAAAAGTGGATTCGGCCCTGGAAAAAATCACACATCCGTCTATTTTGTTTGCCAGTTCACTGGGCTGGCTAGAGATAGGCTAAGACTTACATGCCAGCGTTTAGAGGTATTCCAGGAGCAGCCCTCGCTTTGCAGATGAAAAGAGGGTCTCAAGAGAAGAATCGGGACTAAGACCCAGCTTCCCACTTCCAGGCTTCCTGATTTCCTGTTCCTAACCTCTCCACAGTGTATTTGGGTGTTAACAGAATTTCCATCAATG